ATTTAGTTTTGAGCTGAATATTTAGGTTGCAACTTAAATATTTAGGTATCTAGCTAAATATTTAAGTTAAATATTTAAGCTAAATATTTAAGTTAAATATTTAGCTAGGAAGTTCAATATTTAGCTAGCTTCCTAAATATTTAGGTTGCAACTTAAATATTTAAGTGGCTAGCTAAATGTTTAACTTGATAGCTTAATATTTAAGTTAAATATTTAGCTAGCTAACTAAATATTTAACTTTATTTAAATATTTAACCTCCTATAAGCAGAACACCATGACCCCCCACCTTCAGATGGAAGTAATCAGGAACACATGGAGGTGTGGTCAAAACTAAAGTCTGATTTTATCTGTCATCAGATGACAGGTTCTTTAAAGTGCCTGTGACATGCCTATCCTTCAAATACAAAAAGTCAAAGAAAGCATCTTTATACTTAAGAAAATTGACAGTACACATGATTTTACCCATTTGTCACATAACTGTTCTATTTTCTGTTGAATTTGGCTCAGCCACAATGAAACAGGAAGTGACATCAGAGGAGAAGTCATTAATAAAATAAACTCGCTGGTCTCTGTTTATTAAAACAAAATTATTTAAACTTTAACTCTTCATCTCTCTTTGATAGCGACTAAAAATAATCGAAAGAAACATCAGATTCTTCTCTACAGTCTGTGTCGTTAGCTTTTGTTAAAATGCTCTGTTCACATGCAGACATTCCCCTTTGACGTCACTTCCTGTTTCTTCACACGCAAATATCTCAACAACCGTTCATCTCAGCGACGTGAGATTTGTTTTGCAATATGTTATTAATGTTTTATTTCCAAAAATGCATTCATGTTTATTACAAAAAATTGATGTCACAGGCACTTTAAGTGATGTGAAGGTGAACCTACAGTTCACAGACAGGAGGGTCGTGTTTAAGAAGCTGAGATTGTGCCACAAACTTTTTTCACTAACTTAAAGGACCAATGTTATGTGTTTCTCAGGCATATATTGAAATACTATACATTATTAAAGTATCTATGTCACCTTTAGCTGTTATTAAAATGCTGTTTTAATGTTTAAATAGAAAATAAACTTATCTTCTCATCACTTCCTCTTCTAAAGGCCTTGAAATTGGCCTCTGTCTCTTTAAGAACCTCCTCCTGCTTCTGTCCCGTCCCGTCACCCGTCGGTGGGGGGGTTGCGTGCGCGCGGGGGTGGTTTGTTTTGCGCGTGCGCTTTGATGCAGTTTACTTGGCATCTGAAAATACATTTCCTCAAAGGTATATTGAATCTGAAAAGAGCTTCACTGAGTGAGAAGTACTGTTGAGAGCAGCAGACAATAAGTTTCACTTTTGTTTTTTCACCCGAGAGCCTGCAGGAGTTATGGGCGGGATGTGTGGGGAGGGGGAGGGGGTGCGCTCTGCCAAGAGGAAGTTCCAAGTAGGGGTCTCTGTGGACGAGTGGGCGTGTCACAAGGAAAGGCGATTCTAAAGCGACACACCTGATT